GGTTCCCACTCTTTTTAAGAAATAATTTTCTAGGACCTTTCCAGGAGTTTTTCTAGATAATAGTAATCAGCTTTGAGGTGTGACACCGTGCAGCTTATCCTGTTAATGGTTCAACTTCAAATAAATACACACCCAGGTTAACGTAGACAATCTGAGTGAGGGGCTAAAATACAATAAAAAATTTCCAGGACAATGTAGATTATTTCCAGGATATTTGGTCATTTGAATCAATTTCCAGGTTTCCCAGGACAGGTGGGAACACTGTAATATGGTTCACTAGTGATTTATGAGTAAAACCTTGTGAATAAATATGTATGTTTAGATGTCTTTACATATGCACCATGTCCATGTTCAGAATTACATACCCGACTCCAAACATAGCCTCTGCCTGCTCTCCAATGTGCTGCAGGTTGATGGCGGCTGAGGAGGGACAAACACAGAAGTTACAGGAAGGTCATTTGCTTTGAGGTTGCAGTGACAGCAAGCACATTTGGATCACTTTGAAATGTATATATTAACAAATATTAAATGGAACATGGGGAAAATAAAACATGTAGTGTAAACACTGCTATCAGATTTCTCAAGTTATCACTCTAAAATGAAACATTTTAGAGTTTTCCAGGTTCTACCTGTTGTTTCCCCGTTGACTAGGACATCTGGAAGCATTGAGAGAAGTAACAACACATACCTTTACCACCCACATGTACATTTTTAAAATACAAGATAGTATTTATATTCTGGAAAGGTCCTTTAGTATTGTTTTCCATAGAGATCTGACCAAGAGGGCAGCATTGAACACTACAGCAATAAATACAAACAGCAGACTAAGACAACTGTCGCACACTGCAAGAACACAATATCTATATGAACATAAAAACAACAATTACATAAGATGATATTTTCATGAGCTATACAGTAAGATTGTACAGTATTATACAACTGAATTCAGCAGCAAATTATATTTTTTTAAGTCAGAATTCTGAGTTTCGGGATTATTCACATACACACATACTGGTTGCAATGATAGCAAACACAGGAAGCTCACTTTAAAATGTTAATATCAATAAGTATTCAATGGAAATAAAACATGTAGCATAAACACTGCCTCAAGGTTTCTCAAGTTATCAGTCTAAAATGAAATATTTTAGAGTTTTTCAGGTTCTACCTGTCGTTTCCCCGTTGACGGGGACGTCTGGAAGCATTGAGAGAAGTAACAGCACACACTTTTACCACCTACAAGTACATTTTTAAAATATCAGATAGTAAAAAAAAGTGTCCTTTAGTATTGTTGAGATTAGACTCTCTTTTTCCAAAGAGATCTGACCAAGAGGGCAGCATAAGAACATTACAGCAATAAATACAAACAGCAGACTAAGACAACTGTCGCACACTGCAATAACACTACCTAATACCTAATTAAAATACAATAAAAGAATGCAGACAGTATCCTGTTATGATACATCAGGTACGATTTGTAAGATTGTACAGTATTATACAACTAAGTTTCAATTGGTTTGAGATTATTTAGGTACACACACACTGGTTGCAGTGACAGCAAGCACATTATATTAACAAATATTAAATGGAAAATGGGGAAAATAAAACATGTAGTTTAAACACTGCTATTAGATTTCTCAAGTTATAACTCTAAAATGAAATATTTTAGAGTTTTCCAGGTTCTACCTGTCGTTTCCCCGTTGATTGGGACATCTGGAAGCATTGAGAGAAGTAACAACTCACACCTTTACTACAAACATGTACATTATTAAAATATCAGATAGTATTTATATTCTGGAAAAGCGTCCTTTAGTGTCGTTGAGATTAAACTCTCTTTTTCCAAAGAGATCTGACCAAGAAGGCAGCATAAAAACATAAATACAATAGCAATAAATACAAACAGCAGACTTAGACAACTGTCGCAGGCTGCAAGAACACAATACCTTTATCAATAAGTATTCAATGGAAATAAAACATGTAGCATAAAGACTGCCTCAAGGTTTCTCAGGTTATCACTCTAAAATGAAATGAGTTTTCTATTATTATTTTAGAGGGTTCTACCTGTTGTTTCCCCATTGACTGGGACGTCTGGAAGCATTGAGAGAAGTAACAACACACACCTTTACCACGTAGATATACATTTTAAAAATACCAGATAGTAATTATATTCTGGAAAAGCGTCCTTTATCTAATCAGGTAAAAGTATCGTTGAACTTTTCTGCATATAAAACCAATAATGGAATATAACCGCCCAAAAACGGCATAAATAGAAATTATTTAAAACTCAAAACACATGCTAAATAAAGGAAGGACAATTGAACTCAACAGCAAATTGTTACAAATTTATATTCAATTTATGTATGTTGAGTTAAAAATACCTGAAAAGGATTACAGACACGTGAAAATGTTATTTGAGTTATGAGTTTAACCTCAAAACGATTTTTCCCTTTAAACTCAGAACTAAAATAAATTTTTTATGTGACCGTATTCCTCTTCAGTAAAAAACTGTAAAACTTTGAGTGATAAAACTCATAAAACCAGACTGAAAGAGTGTGTTTCCATTGGCTCTGTGTGTGTGTACCTGCATGCTCCATGTTGGTGGTCGCGTCAGCGTCGGCCATTGGATAAACGTCCACAAACTCCTTCTTAAAAACAGACAGCAGGAAGGAGATGCGGTAGTCCAGACGAACGTTCAGGATGAACTGATGAGGAGCAGAGTTAGCATGAATACAAGAAACTGTTTCACATTAAAATAATAATAATTAAACATCCACCCATTAACAGTATCAGTTTTCAGATCCACACAGTGAATCATAGGTTAGACATTATAGCAATCAGGATAACGTATAAAATAAAGCTTTCAATCAAGGTATAGTATAAGTATTTAACATAGCAAGCTAGCAAATGTATTAGTTTATATTATGAACAATGGAGACATTACTAAGGTAGAAAACAAATGTTAGCTTGGTAGTTAACTAGAAACATTAATCATGTAGAAATTCCAATTCTACAGTTTTTACCATAACTCTCACTTGCAAGCTGGCGGTAGTTAGCTAGCGGGATCCCTTGCTAACATCAAAAAGTCTAATCTAATCTCAATAGCATTAGTTAGCTAGAATGTGACCTAGCATTAGTTTTAGCTTATGAGCGAACTTTATTTAATTAGCATAACACAAGTTGAAGAAATTAAAACAAAACAGTGTGGTACCACTGAAATTAAATTTAGAATTGAGTTTTCACAGTTTGTAGAATTTAGCGAATGACTTTGGTTTTCTTACGAGGAAATATTTGCTTCACCTACACATTTATGATGGTAACAGGTGTACAGTTGCAGTGTACTTGCAGTGTAGTAGCTGACTATAGCATTGCTAGCCCATTAGCCGCTAATATAAAGTGCAGACAATGTCCACAGGCAGTGAGAAGCATTAAATTGTTTGCACCCACTAACTGTGACCTCAATGCTAAAAGATATAGGCTTGAATAATTTTACCTAATAAAGTGGCCACTAAGTATATATTTGTGTTATATTTGTTACCTGTAATATCTCCAGTATCTTCAGCTTGGTGTCCATCACTGTCAGGTCCATCTTGTCTATACTATCTTTACTGCCTCTCTGTCCTTCAAGCACAAGTCCTGGCCCTAGCCCCGTCCCTCTGGCTCCTGGACCTCCAAATAATGACGGCTTCCTGTTGAGGACCATGGTGGACATCATCTGACCCATCCCATGTATGGAGCGCTTCACATTCTTCCCTGAAAAGAAATAGCAAACGGTCATTATCATTACCTTACAGCATTAGACTTGAAAAGAAAACAGCATCCATCACTTAATTAACACAACATTTGAGTTCCCTGACCTTCATCAGGAAAATTATATGCGGCAGGTTTTTACAGAGGAGCGCAACCTTATTGGCCTTTGAGGCGTTTTTGTAAACAACCAAGATGGCTACCACTGATGTGGAACTGTTTCTGTCGGTATTAAATGATCTGGACGATATTTTCTCTAAAAGGAGAACAAACAATTGCACTTAAAGCTTTTGTTGATAAGAAATATGTGTTTGCTGTACTTCCGACTTTGATAAGGTTAATTAACAAACCACGATATATCACACATTTCCCTGCTCTGACTGCTTGACAGTCTGTCCAATTGCATCCGGAGGCATTTTGGTCTGACATCCGAATAAGGAAGTCTCCATCTGGCAATTTTTTAAATTGTCCAGAACTGATAATACAACAATCATGGCCCCTTTAAGCAGTGATAGCCCAATCAATTAATTAAGTCTTCAACCAAAATCTCAGCACAACGGTAACTTACTGATCTAAACACAGTACAAAAAAAAGGCGGACAGAATTTAAGATTTAATAGTCATTGACACTGATCAAAGTCATGGAAAAATGGTACTGTATTTGTTATTTTAGGTAAAAGTAAACAGAAAAGAGTACCTGATCCATCATCATGGAATAAGAGTCCGGTGTATCCAGGATTGGGTCTACAGTCGATGATGCCCAACAGGGTTCTGGTGAGTCTGAGAAGCTCGAAGAAACTGTAGAAACCGAAGTAGATTAAATGTCTGGCCAAACTCACCACCTGGAGAAAGAGCAGAAAAAACAATGTGATCAAATGAGAAAGGAGAAACACTGAAGGAGAGGAAAACTTGTAAAAAAAAGTAAAAGATAAGAGACAGACCTCGTAGGTGAGTTTGTTTTTCTCCTCATTGTGGAACGGCAACTCTTCATTCAGAACATTGTTCAGATACTCCTCCATGAAGGCCATTGTGTTTGAGAAACGGTTCTTCTTGTTATCTCTGCTGTCATCCATGTTGGAGTCATAACTGAGAGAGAAATACATTAGAACAAATTAGCAAAGAAAGTAAAAGAAGAAATTTGCTGTCCTTAAGCAGACAATAAGGTCAGACAGCTAACAACCACATTAGACAATCATATTTGTGGTCTGCAATATGGTCACCATGAACGGTGATGACTGCAAGTGCCACGAGACACTTCAC